CCTATCAGCGCATTGCGACCTTGAGCAATTTTACTTACCTGATGGTCCATAGGTCATCGCGCAATCTATCCCAAATTGCCTATAAGAAAATTTGCCATTCTGTATACTTCTCATAAACCACGTAGGGTTTTATAGAATTCATACTAATTGATATTAATTTAGTAGTCATTTTAGCGAGTGATTTCCGTAGATGGCCGAAAGCACGTGCCGAAGCCATGGCCTGGTATGCGTGAAAAACCTTAAGATCACGGCGTACGGTGGTAATTATTGCAAAGCATCTGAGTCAGTCCTTTTAAGCGAAATCATATTTTGCAACTTCAGTCTGTATTTTACGATATAGACATCTTACTGTAATTAAGGATGACACCTGTTGACGTCTGCTTAGCTTTACGAAGAGTCCCACCGTCCACGAACCACTCATTCGATTCTGTGTCTGAGTTTCAGTGGGATATTATGTAGTTCTAACAATTCGATCTACGGTCCAATAGACGTTATTCTACGTTTCACTAATTCAGATGACTTGCATGGTGGTCCATAAAAAGCCAGGGTTTTCCATATAACATAGTTTATGTTTTGTCATCCTTTAAGTTACTGTAAGTGGAATTCAAAACTGCTGTCGAAGGATATAATTTTAAGAGAGGACAAAATGATTTTCGGGGTAGCTATTTTATTCTCTTCCGTTAGAAATTTGTGTTTACCCCATCTCCCGGGGATGAAATACTCCACAGTCTGTCCGTTTCTGACTAGACCGTTACCGGTTGTAACCTCCGCCAATAGCAAACTTGATCACAGCTTGAGCTGACTCCACTGAATTCGATTTATAGTTTTTGCCTACAGAACAGGCACTGTCGAAAAGTTAGGTTGTCGGATGAAAATCATCGGCAAAGACAAGGGAGAGTGTATTGTCCATTTCTGGCTCATTGGCCGTCTCCCGCCAGTTGTTTATTGAGTGAAGAAGATGAATACATTTGGAAAGTATTGAGCGAATTACCTTTAAACGTACCCCTCTATCAAAAGGGTCCTTGCGCTAAATTCCAGGCATGTTATGATTGGAGTTAGGGTACGGGATACTGGACTTTAACGCAAGGCCACATGTAGCCTGAGGTT